ACTTAGTGGAAAATGAGCTATAACAACTGATGACATCAAGAAGGCTGAGGTGTTTAATGCCTATTTTGCTTAAATCTTCACTAAAAAGGTTAGTGGTGACCTGATACTTACCCCTTGTTAATATTAATTGTGTTAAGGAATGCTAGGCAAAATAGGGGAAGAACAGGTTAAAGAATATTTAGATAAGTTAGATGTATTCAAGTCATGAGGGCCTGATGAAATTCACCTTGGGGTACTTAAGGAAATACCCGAAGCAATCTTGGAACTGTTAGCATTTATCTTTGAGAACTCCTGGAGGACACGTGAGATCATGGTAAAGCTTATGCTCTAATAAATTTGTTAGTCTCTAAGGTGCCACAAGTACTCCTGTTCTTTTTGCGGATACAGACTAACATGGCTGCTACTCTGAAACCTATCTAAACATAGTACCTATCTTTAAAAAGGGGAACAAGGAGCCCCCCTGGGGAACTGTGACCAGTCATCTTAACTTCAATACAAAGATACAGGAACAAATTATTAGAAGAAGCATTTTGTAGGCACCTAGAGGATAATAGGTAATAGCCAGTGTGGATTTGTCAAGAATAAATCTTGCCAAATCAACCTAATTTCCTGCTTTGACAGGGTTACTGACTAGTGGATGGGGGAAACAGTAGATGTAATACATCTTGATTTTTAATAAGGTTTTTGACACAGTATCACATGACATCCTCATAAGTAAACTAAGGAAATGTGGTCTAGGTCGGTGGCTCTCAGCCTTTCCAGACTACTGTACCCCTTTCAGGAGTCTGATTTGTCTTGTGTACCCCCAAGTTTCACCTCACTTAAAACTACTTGCTTACAAAATCAGACACAAGTGCCCCAGCACACTGTTGCTGAAAAATTGCTGACTTTTTCATTTTAACCTTATAATTATAAAATAAATCAATTGGAATATAAATATTATACTTGCCTTTCAGTGTATAGTATGTCATTGTATGAAATTTTAGTTTGTACTGACTTCGCTAGGGCTTTTTATGTAGCCTGTTGTAAAACTAGACAAATCTAGAAGAGTTGATGTACCCCCAGGAAGACCTCTGTGTATCCCCATGGGCATGCATGCCCCTGGTGGAGAACAGCTGGCTAGGTGAAATTCTTATAATCTAGAATGAATGCCCAAGTGGTTGAAAGGCTGTACTCAAAAAAGTAGTCTTGGTCCTCTGTCAAATAGGGAGGGCATAGCTAGTGGGGTCTGTCCTGGACCTGGTACTAGTTGATATTTTCATTATTGCCTTGGCTAATGGAGTGGAGAGAGTGCTTATAAAATGGGCAGATGACATGAAGCTGGCAGGGGTTGCTAGCACTTTGGAGGCCAGGATTAGAATTCAAAACAAGCTTGATAAATCAGAGAATTGGTATGAAATCAACAAGATGAAATTCAAAAAAGAAAAGTGCAGAGTACTACACCTAGGAAGGAAAAATGCACAACTACAAAATGGGGAATAAATGGCTAGCCAGTAGTCCTGCTGAAAAAGGATCTGGATTACAAACGCAATGAGTCAACAATGTGATGCAGCTGTGAAAAAGGCGAATATTCTGAGGTGTATTAACAGGAGTGTTGTATGTAAGACACGGGGTAATTGTTCCACTCTACTCAGCACTGGTGATGATTCAGCTGGAGTAGTATCCAGTTCTGGGCACCACACTTTGAGAGAAAGGTGGACAAATTGCAGAGAATCCAAAGGAGACCAACAAAAGTGATTAAAGGTTTAGAAAACCTGACCTATGAGGAAAGGTTTAAAAAAACAAAAACAAAAAACCAACAACCTGGGCATGTATTGTCCTGAGAAAAGAAGAGTGAGGGGAAGACCTGGTAAGTCATCTTTATAACCACCCTTAACATAACAGAAGATCAATTGTTCTCCATTTCCACTGAAGGTAGGACAAGAAACAATGGGCTTAATCTGCAGCAAGGGAGACTTAGGTTAGATATTAGGAAAAACTTTCTAACTATCAGGGTAGTTAAGCTCTGGAATAGGCTTCCAGGGGAGGTTGTGGAATCCCCATCATTGGAGGTTTGTAAGAACAGGTTGGATAACCACCTGTCAGGATGGTCTAGGCTTACTTGGTCCTGAATCAGTGCACAGGGATGAACTAGATGACCTCACCGGTCCCTTCCAGCCCTGCAGGTCTATGATTCTGTGCTCTCCTGAGTATATTTAGAATCTAGCAAACCAAAAATTGTTGTTAGTATTGCTATCGTGCCTAGAGGCCCCAACTGAGATTGGGGCCTCCGCTGTGCTAGGTGCTGTACATATGCGTAAGTCAGAGACAGTCCCTGGAGAGCTCAGGTCTGAACAGACAAGACAAAGGGACAGGGAAGGGGAAAGTGACTTGCCTAAGGTCACCCAGCAGGTCGGTGGCAGAGCTGGAAATAGTACCCAGATCTCCTGATTGCTTTATGCTCTGTGACTTGCACTGTGCCTTGTAGTGAGGCCTTGTGAAGTGGTGGCTCTGGCTGACCCAGTCTGTGTGGGATGGCTGGGCTAGCTGGATATCTCCCTGTTGGAGTCTTCCCCATGCTTTGGGTACTGATTCTGTGGTTCCCAGCTACTGGTAGTTTTGGCCTGGGTTTGTGACGGACTCTTCGCTCTCCCCTCCCTACCTTAATGATCAGCCCCTTGGCTGGGCTTTGGTGCATGGTCGCTGCCCACCCCCTGTTCAGCTATGCACTTTCTAGTCCACATTGGAGACCTGTCTGGAGCAGGCCAAGTCCTATAGGTGGGGGGAGTGAATACATGCATTTTAATAGGGCTGGAGGGCACAGCCAAGGTCTGATAAACTGGAACGGTTGCCTGTGTGATAGGCAGACGAAGGGTTAAAGGGGCAAGCTCTCTGCACTCCTTCCCCACCATAATCCTCTTATTTTGAAGAAGAGTGTAGGCTGGGTAAGCCCACCCGAGACCTGGGGCAGAGAGCTCCCTTCTCATGGTCCCTGTGCGTGGCTGGCAGATGTTTCATGTTTCCTGAAGCCGTGCTGCTCCTACTGCCTGGGAAACCCACAGAGGCGGGGGAGGCTCTGCGGGCTACTGGACTGGGAGCGGCTGCTGCCAGGCGGAAGCGCTTAGTTAGGTTTTCCTAGACAGCTTTGAATGGGAGCCAGCAGCCCGCTCGCTACGGGAGAAAATCCACGAGGTCAGGAAATCCAGCAGCAGCTCCAGATCCGTGCTAAGGCTGTCTGCTTGGCACTGCTGATCCCATCCGTTCTTTCCACCTCTCTCCTCAAACAATAACCTCCAATGGCTTTTGACTCAGTATCTTGCTTGGCTTCTGAGGTACATCATTTGGCATCATTTTGAGGTATCTGCATGCAGGATGTTAGTTCGGTGATGAGGGCAGAGAGGGTTAGAGTGACTCGAATTACAAGCACTTGGGCTCTGGCTTTTGCGACTCTGCCGTGCATGCTCCCCAGCATCCAGCATGGAACAGAGAAGTGGAGATTTTAGTGGTTTTTTTCTATTTTGTCTTTGCTTTAAATTCACCCCTGTTTGAGAGCTACAAACTCCTCTCTTCCTCTTCCAGAGATTATTTTTTTAAGGGACCTTTGTGACCATCTAGTCTGAACTCCTGCAGAACAGGCCCTAGAATTTTCCATCCAGCGAGTCCTGCACCGAGGGCAGGAACTGGTGGCAACTGTTACCACTCGAGCAAGTGACTGCTTTCCTTCCCTGCCCCCTTTTTTTTGACAGCCAAGAAGCCTTCTTCAGAAGGACACGTCTTTGCAGGCAGCCCTCATCTGGTGTTGGGGTCTCGGTGGGTGCCAAGGGGCTAGCTAGCTAGCAGTCTGTAACCTGTGCGCACACCGGCTAGTCTGTTTTTCTGCTCTGCCCACAGTATAGCTGCAATCTCCATGGGTGGATACGCTATTACATACAGCATGAGCACTGCAGCAGCATGTGAGCTTACTAGACATAGGGCAAGATGGGGATAAATAGAAACTGGCTGTCCCTAAAAGAAATGTGGCTGCAGCAGCATCCCATAAAACCCAGCCTGCTGTGGCCTATAGGCCTGCTGTAACCTCTGGCAGCTGCAGGACAGTGCCTTCTGCTGCTTAATAATTAATGGGAAAGTTCCCCATCTGCTTTGTGAACAGAACAACTTGGGTACTATGATAAACTACTTTATTCCTCCTCACTCCTCTCCAACCCCCCAGAGAGTTCCCCTCCCAGAGGGTTGTGGGCTATCAGGAAGCACTCAGCACCCCATCTTGTATTGGTACAGTAACCCTGCTAAACATGACCTACAAGGGGGGAAATAAATTGGGCTTATGTCTTTTTCCTTATGGTGATTTTTGAGGACCTCTGAAAGGTTTTGTTTAAAAAGGAGCCTGCTTGTTTCATTCCTTGAGACACCCAGGTCGTGTGGACCCTGGGAGACTCCATGGCGATTGGAAGGCTAATTAAATGACGACCTCACTGGAGAGGAGACTGAAAGCTGAGTAGAGAAGGGATTTTTATGCCTTGTCTGTATCAGGCTCTTGCTCTGATTGCAGTGACGAGTGGCCTGAAAATGATGTAGCTGCACTAGGGAAAACGCCATGTGTCAGATTCCATTTGCATCTCATGCTTTCCTTGTGTAAAGCTTAGGATTTGCACTACTGCACCTATGTCAGTGACTGCCAGAGCACTTGTGGTTGGAATTGGGACAAATTCCCAATGTCGACAAGGCCTCAGTCACTGTTCAAAAAATTCTTTGGTTTTTAACACCTTTATCTCCAATGTAGAATAAACTATTTGGAGAAAAGAGGTCTCCCTTAAAGAGTCAATTAAGGTGAGAGAGCTCACAACACACAACCTCTGAGAGGCCCAGAAGTTCCTCCAATTCTACCAGTCTCAACACTCCTGATATTTTTAAAGTAAAAAAGCAAGCAGAAATCTTAGTTTTGTTTTTTAAATTACGTTGCAGGCTTTCTCCATAAAGGTGGAGGAAGGGCAAAAGCCCACTGTTTGACATATGCATTGTAGGTAGTCTTTAATGGACCAGTAAGGAGAGGTGTCTGTCCAATTGGTTTCTGGAATTTGGAAGGTGCCTAGGAGGAGACTGCAAGTGAGAGCAGCAGAGGTGCTGGCACCTGGTGAACATAGAAGTTGGCACCGAGCACACCAGTGCCTGGTATGTATATGTACCGTTAGCAGTCTGAATAAATATGATTGGATCGGTGTGTAACTGATGGTGTGCCACGTAAGGGAAGATCACAGTTGATCTGAAGGGGTATTCTAGAAGAGGTCTACACATGTTTGCAAACAACTCAACTCCCTGGACACTCTTGTTTTTGATTTGAGTGGCTTATTTTATTTTTACTTAAATCTGTTCCTAATTGAACTCTTAGATTAAACTGAAATGAATGTCCACACAGCTTTTTGCACTGGTTTAGCGAAACTGGTTTAAAATCACACCTTTAGATAAGCACATGCCACTCTGTGTGTAGATAAGCTCTTGGAGCACATTTTACATTAAAACTGATTAATACTGGGGGAGGTCCCTCAAAATCCAATCACCTCTTTACTGGGGGATTATTGAAAAGAGCTAGATCGTAATTTTAGTATTAGAATTTGGTATGTAGCTGCCTGCCACCCAGCAATATGTAATACGCATGGCTGGCACCATGGAAATCTCTCCTCCCCTCTTGTGCCATTCCTATGGCTGTTAGTAGTGTTCGTATTCCCCTGGAAATAATCTATCTTGATAGCCTCCTGTTTGGTCCTGCAGTGTTTGTAAGTACTTCTCCCCTCCTGATGCCACTGGGAAGCCATTTTCCAAGTCTGTGGTGGCAGATGGCTCTTTTCCATTGCAAATAGCCCCAAAATTGGAAATGATCTACACGGTGCACCTCAGACTTTTTACCCCACCCGTTCCGCATGCACAGCAGGGATCATGTCAAAAGTGGGAACCTATTCTAGACTGACTCCCTGTGCCACTAACCTACAGCATGTATAGCTTATTAGCATGCAAATGTCCAACCCAAAGTGTCAGTCCTCTTGCTCCCATCACATACGTGATAGGCTGTTGTCTGCCTAGGAGACACGTGGGCATTTGTTTGACTTCCCGTTGCATACTGACGTGGGGCCACGTTGACCTGGTGAGGGCACAATCTGGAATGAGTGCACTGGCTTCAGTCAAGTTACTGGTGTGAATCTGGATTGCAACAGAGAGCAGGATTTGACCATGGAATCACCATCTTCTGCCCACAATTTTCCCATACTACCTGTGCTGTGTTCCTCCCAACTTCCTGCAAAGAGAGTGCATTTAGGATGAAGACTGTTGGATGACTTGGGGAGAGGGAGGCTTCCTTGAATGTTGATTTAATACAGTAACTCCTCACTTAACATTGTAGTTACATACCTGAAAAATGCGACTTTAAGCGAAACGATGTTAAGCAACTCCAATTTCCCCATAAGCATTAATGTATATGGGGGGGTTAGGTTCCAGGGAAATGTTTTTCACCAGACAAAAGACTATAGTGTGTGTGTGTACAAGTTTTAAACAAACAATTTAATACTGGTACACAGCGATGATGATTTGTGAAGCTTGGTTGAGGTGGTGAAGTCAGAGGGTGGGATATTTCCCAGGGAATGCCTTACTGCTAAATGATGAACTAGCAAACTAGCCTGGGGGCTGCAGGAGTGTGTTGGCCCCTTCCGTGAGTGGCGTGGGGCCGGGGTAGGCAGGGAACCTACCGTAGTGGCAGCCACGCTGCACTGCTGACCGGGAGCTACCACAGGTAAGTGCTGCCCGGTGGGAGGCTGCACCCCAGCCCTGAGCCCCCCTCACGGAGCCAGCACCCTGAAACCTCTCCTGCACCCCGAACCCTCTCCTGCGCCCTAGCCCTGATCTCCTTCCCAGAGTCAGCACCCCATCCCCTCCTGTGCCCCAACCCTGACCTCCCTCACAGAGCCAGCACCTTGTACCCCGTCCTGCACCACAACCCCTTGCCCCAGCGCAGAGCCCCCTCCTGCACCCAAACTCCCTCACAGAGCCCATCCTCCTTCCTGCACCCCAACACTCTGCTCCAGGCTGGAGCCCCCTCTTGCACCCAAACTCCCTCCCAGAGCTTGCACCCCTCATCCCCTCCTGCACCTCAACCCCCTGCCCTAGGCTCAGCCCAGAAGCCCTCTCCCACAGTGTGAACCCCTTGGCCCCAGCCCAGAGCCCGCACCCCTACCCCAGCCCAGTGAAAGTGAGTGAGGGTGGGGGAGAGGGAGTGACTGAGAGAGTGGGGGATGGAGTGAGTGGAGTGGGGCTTTGGGGAAGGGAAGGGGCAGGGCCTCGGGGAAGGGGCAGGGTAGGGTGACCAGATAGCAAGTGTGAAAAATCGGGACGTGGGTGGGTGGTAATAGGAGCCTATATAAGAAAAAGCCCCAAATATCGGGACTGTCCCTATAAAATCGGGACATCTGGTCACCCTAGGGCAGGGTAGATCCTGGGTTGCCCTTAAATTCAAAAAGTGATCTTGAGTGTAAAAAGGTTGGAGACCACTGGTTTAAAGCTTGCTCAATGTACATGTCAGTCTGTTCTCAACAGTGGCAAAGTCCTTCTCCTGTGATGTGATTCATAGATCACTTGTGTATATAAAATGTCTCATATTGCTCTGTATTAGGGTTACCATATTTTGTGCCTCCAAATGGAGGACCCGCCACGGGGCCCTGCCCCCGCCCCAACTCCGCCCC